ATACGTTTAGTAGCTGGATTCAATCTTATAGATGAAAAACGAAGCACAGATACGTCCAGAATTGAAAATATTAAATTTAACTGAGAGAATAGAAAAGCAAAAAACAAAATGGTGTAAACATATATTAAGAATATCAACAGACAGACTTCCAAAAATATTACTAAATCATAAACCCAGAGGATACCGAAATATCGAACGAACTATACCTAGATGGGAGGATGCATTCTATTGAAGTCGGAAACGGGCCAATGGCCTATATATTTGAAGCAGAAGAAGAAGAAAACAAAGAAATGTGTAGTTTAATTTTATCAGCACACCTTAGCTTTTAAAAACTTGGTCAGAAATTATACACAACTAGAATGTGTAAAAGAACGTTTTAGTTGAATTATCTAAAACGTATACGTACTTATAACTTAGTACTTAGTACTTTGTACTTAGCTTCATACTGTCCAAGATTTAAAAAATTCAGTTTATTGCAGTATATTTAACAACATTTATATATTATTCTTTTAATTAAGGACTTGGATATTGATGATTTGTGAATGAAAACGATGATTCAGCTCACACCCTAATCTAGTTTTTATTTCTATATAATATTTAATTTACAATATTCTCATTCATTATGTAACATCTGTAAATATTTACATGTGGGCGAGGTTAACATATTGTGCTATGATTTGGAATTATGTCCAGCCTATGGTCAAGTTTGGCGTTCACCTGTAATAACATTATCTCTCAAAATAAATGTGTTGAAATACATAGATTAAGGACGTTTATAACCGTTTAATCTAACTGTACAGTCTTCAACGAGATTTGTATTTTTTGCACCAGTTGTTAATGAGCGGCTTTATTCATTGCCCTGATAATGGAGGCAGCAAGCACCTGTGAAACGTCGGTAAACTTCTAAGAGACTACACGGCGCAACAATTTAGAAGACTGCCGTCTTCATACTCAAAGACGTAAGAACCAGAGATCTCAGCTAACATATCCGTCCGAATATAACATTTATTTCCATAATATTTACTTCCATGCATTTTATAATCTGCAATGTGCATAAGTGAATAGCCAACCCCTCGTTGTTGTTTTAAGGTTACTTTCCATATAGCTAGCATTTCCAAAACTCCGGTAATTCTTTTATAAAACAGCTGCCAAGCTTTTAACGAATAACAACGTAAAATGGCTATAATTAAATTATTAATTCAATGTTTTGTATTTCAGACAACGGTTTTGAATTCTTGTATGAGAATTACTTATGAAATATGAGACTATGTGATCAATCACTAAACACATATGAAAAATGTTTTTATTTTTTTACTTTTTGTAGATCAAATCTAATAATTAAATAAATTGAAAGTAAAGTAAGCGTGCATTTTAGGTGGTGATACGCTTTTCTATGCGGTGAAACCATTTATAAAATGTTAGGGCCTTGAAATGAAAGTAACGAAAATTAACAATCTGTTCTGCTGACAACGCAATGATATGGAACACAGTTTCCGTAACTAATTCATGTGTGATATCTTGAAATATTTCATTGATTTACTTGGCTTTTGAGTCTTACTGTTCAAATATGATCTGATCATTTAATTACAAAACTTCGTGCATCTAATTTCTATTTATGAAACAACCACAGTCACATAAAACACTCTGACCAGATCGACGAATATTTAGGTAAAAGTTTCTATGTACATCAAAACTGAAGTTGATGCAGCCATATTTACACACATAATGCTGCCAACTATGCTGCAATGTTATGCAGCACGGAAACTTACTTTATGGACAGAGTGATTGTAAATAACACAGCTGACAATGTAAATCACAGCAATAACACTCGCTACTGACTAGAATAACAAGTTTTAATATGAACATTATTTCTGAATTTGTATTCCAAGGGCAATTTCTAGATTTCTCATATGTTGATTAAAAATAACGAACATCATGTTTTGAACATACGTTCTTAAATTATCACCACCTGATCGAAGTGTCAAATTTAAATAGATGTGATTTGTAGGAAAACGAGTTAAAACCTATATTGAGGTGTCCTTTACTTAAGAACAGCCCATTATCGTTTGTTAATAAGTACTCTCTACCAAAAGTGAATCTCCGGGTAAATGGTTATCATAACACTACATATTTCTCCCCGCCTCTATTTTAATGACAGCTATTGCAACCGAACCTGGAATCCTTTTAAGTAGGATTTGAGGTTCTTATGGCAGTGAGACCGAAGATGGCTGTCTTTTGGGTTGTAGAGCCTTGTAGTCCGGTAATAGTTTACCAGCTTTCGCCCCCTGATGATAGAGGCAGAAATGACCTCTGAAACGATGGTAAACTACTACCAGACTACGCGGCTCTACAACCCAGAAGATAACCATCTTTTGGAATCCTTTGAATAAAAAAGGATATAGTTATTCAGAAGGCATGGGTTTCGATCCTGACCTCTGATATTAATAGACCTGTTGGAAACCAGACAACCAATCAACTTGAAGAGGGAGTAGAACCCTGCCGTCGACGTACCGTGTATATTAGACACTCTTATGCCTCGCACAATGGAAAGTGCCCACCATTAATTTCGGTATTATAAAGAAACGCGTGGTAGTACTCAGCAGCAAGCGTCATTTAATTCTCAGTCCAAGCCAGTTATCTAAAAGATGAAAAGCTCTTTGACGCCAAACGTTCTACGGCGTAAGTTTTGATTCAGAAGAAATGACTGAGTTGTTGTACAGCTGGTGGCACGTTGAGCAATCAAGCACCATCTTGGTCGATAACTGCTGCAGCGCGCTCTGAGCTTCTGAAACACACGAGTAGCTCGTATTTACAGATGTGTGTGTAGTGTGAAAAGTACGTCAGTAAATATAAACTTAAAAATATTGTAATCTGTGGTAAATAATACAAACTGTAAAGTATGAAGAAGGCTTAAGTGATATTATTATGGTAATATTGACTCCAAGGAACTGATTACTCATTTAGAAGCTGATGATAGTGGCTCTGATGTCCAAGGAATTTCCCGCTTTTTATAAAGCCCGAAAGTTTTCACTACTATGTTCCCACAAGACCACGTCCTCCGCTAGTTGACTTTAGTGCATATACTCACACCCTATTTCATTTTTTCTTCTTCTTTTTCCGGTTTAACAATGTTTGTACATTTTCCGGTACTCTTTACGGGTCCCCAACTTTTCGTGGCTTGATCTATGGACATTCGGTAGGACTCCTTGGACGAGGGATCGGCCCGTTGCAAGGCCTCTACCTGTACACAGGACAGCACAACACAGAAAAACATCCATGGCTTGAGTGGGATTCGAACCCACGGTCCCTGCGACCAAGAGGCACAAAACCAACGTCTCAGACCGTGCGGCTACTGCGGGACACCCCCCCCCCGTTTTATTTATTTATTTAAAATATTCTTCAATAATTTTCCCCATTTGGTCGCTTCCCTTCAGATTTTACGACTAAAATATTGTGTTCGTTTTAAGTTGACCCTTTCACCTTATATAAGGACTGGTCTTGGTACTTATCTAAAAATGGTACATGGAGCCCTTAAAGTAAACTACTTCTGTTTGTCGGTGTCGTGGGAGTAACAAAGGTTTTTTAACGTAAGATTTGAGTTTCTCACGGCAGTGAAGATGGCGATGTTGTTCTTCCGGGTTATGACGCCAGGGCTAAAGGGCTGTCAGAATGCAGACAAACTAACACTACGCTACTGTCCCATGTTAAATTGTTCTCAGGCGCGTTAGGTTTAAGATGGAGGAGACGGACTCCAGATGTGGAGGGTAGCTGAGAACGGTGAGGACAGCCGGCAAGGGATGTCGTCCAGCTTGAGATTTATCGGAGGGTGTGCTACGAAATGTCATATGGGGTCTCGGACCTGACGGATTATTCGCCTGCAACTTAATTATATATTATCTCTCACTCACTCACACGGGAGAACATATCTTGGGGATGTTTGACAATATATTGAGAACAAGACAGACCTAAGACAGAGGATGTAATAGAAGGATGAAGAAAATAACACATTGACGAACCTCATAATTTTTGTTCCTCGATTATTAGGATGACGAAAAAGGTGAACTCAGACAGTGCATTCAGTAGGCATGAGGGCGGTGATAAATTCATAAAAGACGAAGTCAAGAGGTCGCGTGGCATGCAGAATAATATTAAAATAGTGACTAAAATAAATATCGTGTGAGTGTATGTACTGGGTTCAATTAGCCCAGAGCAGAGTGGAACACGGTAACAAATATTTAAGCTTTATAAAAGATTATGAATTTCTTGGCAGTTGAGTAACAGACGTTCAAGATAGTATCACTGAAATAATTTGTTTGTTCTTGAAGAGACATGCAGCGGAGTTTTTCAGCGATATTTAGGAAGCAGGGCTTAATGGCGGAATGTACTGTTTGCAAAACGTATTGACAAACACAAACCTCTGAGGCGCTCATGTCTTCTCTCTACATTTTGTAGCGGTTCTGCGAGACTGAAGTAAGAACACGGCTCAGTTCCAGACGGCGCTGCCAGTTCTGCGGAACAGAAATTAACTTTGTATTCGGCGTATTCTCTACAAACTTACTACTGCTCTATACCTCGCTCATGAATTTTCTAATTCTCCGTTTACAAATAATCATCTGTTGAACGAAGAAATAAGGATATAATAAGCTCTGATATAAGTAAGTAGATCTTGGAATCGTCCAGTAGAAGTGGCCAAGTGTTTTCAGGATAATAAAGAATCGAACCCAAAAATAATTAAATATAATTCAAATTTTTGCAAATTTAAATTAGCAAGAAAGCAGCTCTGATACAGCGACAATGAACGAGAGCTGGAAGCAGAGTCGGTTTTGATTTTTCTTTTTTCTTTTTACTTTCACTTGAAGACAATTTCACAAATACACAAATTACATATCCTACAGGATCAACTAGATGGATAAATGTGAAAGAATAATTACGAAAGAAGACAGAAAAAGACATCCTGACTATTTTAACGCTTTCCTTTGTGGCTAGTTAGCTAGTTAGGTAACGTTAAGACGGACCTTAGGGAGATAAGAATCAATGGAGCGAATTGAATGCATCTAACTCAGGATACAGTCCGGTGGCCGGCTTTTGTGAACACGGTGATGAAAGAATATGGGTTATTCTTTGACAAACAGAGTATAAATCGACTTTTCGAAGAATATCCTGCACCTGTGACTGTTCAATAAAAATAACATTGTGTGTGTATCGATGGCAACCGAGAGGCACAGAAGTCAGGAGGCACATAGAAGAATTACTCGATCTGTTGACATCGCAGTCGCGGCGTCAGGCTTCAGGAATTTTTCGTTCGTAGCGTGCGAGGTACAAAGGTGTTATCTCGGAATTTTCCTAGGGCGGAACATGGGAATTTATTGGCAAAAATGCTCTGGCCTCACACAAGACGCAGAGTACTAACACCTCAAATCATTCATGCGGTTTAGGCCTGATTGTCTCCCTGATCGGTAGAATTCTACCAGGCTTGCGGTTAGAACGCTGGCCTTGTAATCCTGGGGTTTCGGGTTCGATTCCCGGCGGTGCCCGAATTTATAACTTGTGTTGGGCAAGGCCGTGGTCTAGGCAACACGGAGTTTTTCTCCGGGGGCTTCCCCGGTTTCTCCGTGGCATCCCAACAATTACTCCATTCACACACAGAAGGCAATGGTAAATCACTTCTGGATCATCTGCCAAGAACGTATATGAACAGGTCCCAGTCCGAGAAAAGGATGGAAGGATCCTGTTCATATGGACCTGTCGTCAGACAGAACACTAAATAAAACAAATACATGGCGCTGCAACCCAGAAGACAGTCATTACATGTTCACCGGCGTGAGAACCTACAGTCTCACTTGGACCTAGATTTAATATCTACTTCTGTTATTTTTTTGTCTTGCGTCTAAATATTCTCCTAATCGTTTTGTTCTTAAAGAAAAAGTTTCACACAAGATTGAATCTAAACGTAAAATTACACTTTATGTGTTTGAATATTTATGTTTTTAGGGAGAGTATGAGAGGCTAAAATTATTTTGAAGTGAATGGTATATCGTAAACAAGGATAATGCATGTGTGGCGAGAAGCGGAACTAGCGACTCTGGTATTCTATTTATTAGACACTGACATCAATGCTGTCACGTAGATATCCACAGGTCTTTGTCGGTATACATCCTTCGAATTTAATATGACCTTTTTACTGAAAGCAATTTTCGTTTGTTACTGCAAATCCCAAATATCTGAATTCTGCTAGTTTCAAAGGCTGAACTACCTTTATATAATGTGTTCTATTAGGTCTTTCTATACCTCCTTGCCTTTCCGGAACAAACGTAGTTTACGTCGTTTTACGAATCCGTGTATCTTGCATTCTCTGTATAAGCCAAAATTTTATTTAATTTAACTTGTATAACCTATATATTTTTCTAATTCTTCAACTGCGCTTGTAGTTTCTTTGTTATTTCTTCATTTTTTGAACTGTCTTTTTATAAAGTGACTTCCGGTTAACTGTTCAACATTTATGTAGTTTATATTCTTCTTGTGTTGTAACGCAAGTTTCGTTTTTATTCAGATTTTAAAGTGTCTTTGTATTTATCTGTTTTCATGTCTTCTGTTCCAGTGTGTAATCGTTCGTCTAAATCGTTATTGAAATGATTAATTACATTGCACTAGGATTTTTAAAACGAGATTTGTTTAATAATCTGTTCATTTGTAACTAAAATACATTAAGTCTTCTACATTATTTTCGATGCGTCTCAGGAATAGTTACGGTTTTAATATTAATAGACAATCATTATGATAATAAAACACTCAAGAATTTCATAGGGAATATTGATTGTTACAACGGTTATAACTGTAACACTTGACAGTCATTTCCAAAACTCAGTTTCTTGTTGCAAAAACGTTCACGTGAGCGGAATATACCTGAAGATCGGAATGTGTTGTAAGCTTTTTCTTGAGCACAAGAAAAGGATTTGGCGAACGAAGTAAAGTAAGAAGACTTCCGTCGGAATAGGTGTTTAAAAGGAAAACAGAAATGAAAAACATACAATGTGGGAAGAAAAAGCGAGAAAAGAACCATTTACGATTTACAGAACCACGTTGAGACTCATCCAGTTCAAACTCAGACTCGGATTATTTCTATGTTGGTGGTCTTAAGAACAGTCAAACGTAGGGACGTAGTGTCATCGATACACTCACTTGTTTAAAATAGCAATTATATATTATTTTATAGATTTTATACAGAATAGTACAGGAAAAATCGTGACCTTGAATATGCAGATTCATGGAACGAACTGTAAATTATGTACAGTTATTCTTTCTGACTTAGTCAGTCGTATGAATTATAAAATCCAGGTCTCATGATATCTAAACCACGGGGGGCCCAATTTATAGGCTCTCTATTCTTTTCCCACTTTTTATCTGAAGACGGAAGCATAATCCAGCAGTCGAAACATTGTAGTTTTATAATTTTATAATTTAATAAAAATTAATAGTTTTACATATTTTATGTACCATCGTTAGAGACTTCAAGACTTAAGAGTTGTAAAGTGAGCTGCGACACGATGTTTTTAATCCCTTATCTCTTATGGTGTATTAATATTAAAGTGGATTATGAAGATTTGGTATATGAGATTGTGAACTGGATTCAGCTGGTTCAAAATAGGGTTCAGTGGTGGGATGTGCTGAACGGGGCAATAATCCTTGGGGCTCATAAAATTCCGGCAATTTCTTGATCAGCTAAGCGAGTATTTGCATCTTAAGAATGACTGTGCTCTACGAAATTATTTGTAACATTTCGATAGTTGACCTTCCTACTATCATCAAGTGACTGATTTTTGACAGATTTCTTTACATTATTTGTTTGCTGAAAACAGCTACCATGAAATTGAAATAAATATCATAGAATTTTTTTCAAAATAATAAAAACACATTAAGAAGAGACGAGAGAGATTAACTGCGGAACTGTGGTATTAATGAAAAATAGGTACAGTAAAGGAGAAGATATATAAAACAGTGAACCTGTCATTATTAATCTACCACTGTTATAGTTATTCAAATCATCATATTTAATAAGGTATCATATTTGAAATGATTACTGAGTTGTAAATTCCTGCTTTTTCACGAAGACGCAACACAAATTAGAGTTACTGATGCAACATTCAAAATATGCTATGATACTTTATGTTGAGAGAATCTTGATTTATTGAAGTATTCAGTGGATTATAAAGTAATGCATTATGTAGACACTCCATTAAACGCAAAACCACGAAAAGTTAAAGTTATTTAATTATGTACTTCTTTAACTGCCATTTGTAACTGCAGAGGTTATAAATCTACTTTTCCAATAAGACGTGAGAATATTAATGAATAGTGTTCAGACGGACGTTTTATAGAATAAGTTTTAAAAGTATGTTACAGTTTCAAAACTATGTGCACAGATTTTATTAAATACAACGGAAACTCTTCATTATTACCCTTTTATTCGATGTCCTTACATACTAAGAACAAGCATATACCTTTTTGCTCTTTAGACGTAATTAATACGGTGTTTTGGTATTTCCATTTCGATACGATATTCTATTGAAGACAGGAGGTTGCACGAAATTCCATTAAAATCTTTCACCAGTTTCTAAGGTCATGGCTTGTATTCGATTGCTTCGTCTAGATTTCACATTGACTGGAGACGAATCCGTTAATCTGAGACGACTGTCATTTGTAGCAGACACGAAATGGTATAAAAGAAACTCATCGAAGCTCCTTCTTTACTGAACAGAGCTCACTCCTCAGTACAGTCTAGTCCAATACCAAACACGTCTCACTGCTAGAAATAGCAGCCATTATACCAGAACAGGACTGGGCAAACAACGGCCTTCGAGAAATTTAGTCCGACCAGCTGCTGTATTCTGGTAAGAATGTGGCCCTTTACTGATTCTTAATATTACAAACACAGTAAAAAGAACTCATTTCAATGAACAAATATCTAGATTTCGACTCAAATTTTAAGTTTGACCACCATTACACTTAATAATATTTCTGCTTATTATACATACAGCTAAGTATGAGGAAGTTGACTGGGACCCATATAATGTGTGCTTCAACACCAATTAGACATGAGGATATTCCGTCATAATTAATTGTTAATGATGCAGTTCTTCGTAGTTTGATTTAAATCATAAAGTATGCTCGACGTAAATAAATTATATTTGCAAAGTCTATAAACCACACAATTTTGTCGTAATAATTTTAAATTTTACGTGCTTCTTTGTTACACTTTTAAATAAAATTATGTTTAAGCACTATTTTAGGATTCCCAGTCAATCTTGAAGGGGAATTTAATAGTGAAGTAAATAATAATATATATAAGCATCAAAGAATACGTTAACGGTAAACAGAACATAAAACAAGTAAGGAAAGAACATCAAAGAATACGTTAACGGTGAACAGAACATAAAACAAGTAAGGAAAGAGACAAGTTTAAATTTACAAAGTGGTTACAGTTCCCGTAGTTCTATATGGAATTTAAAATCGTGTTAATTAACTCATGGAACGGAGTCCTTGAGAAGTTAAGAGCTACTGAGCTAGTCAAGAAGTTTACCCTCCCTTCATGTAGTTAGAACGGCCATTAACGTGCACAAAACAGACGGCCGCTAAGGTTTCTCCTGAATCACACGTATCCATTACACATACTATTTCTTTATGATATATTTTAATAATATCATCCCGTCTACGCCTATGTTTTCTAAGTGGTTTTTCCCTTAATATTTCCCAACTAAAATTTTGTACACAGTATTTAGTAACCTATAATATCTACCAAATTCATACAGAAAATTAGTGTTTCGTAGATGGCTATCTTCTGGGTTGTAGCGCCGTGTAGTCGCTACAACCCAGAAGACAGCCATTTTCAGACTCACCGCCGTGAAAACCCCAAATCCTACTATTTTTTTTGTAATTCGTGTTATTTATTTGCATTAAGTTTTGGGTCCCTCAGACCGGATCACACGATTATGAAGACCCACTGAAATGTTAAATAACACAATTTAATTGCTTCTGTCAGTTGTTTTTAGTGAGATCGGAATTGCGGGTTTTGAGTTCTGCACGTGTAACAGGCTGAAAGTACAGTAAATCAGAGAGAACAGTTTTCTCCCTTAACACGGAACACAGTAACAGAGAGAAATCGTGTTGGTTCAGTTGAGTGTACGAGTTGTATAAGCTTATTACCCACTTGGCTCGATCCGCCAGTCTGTCTGACTGCTAAATGAACCTGTGGTTGCTTCCAATTACTGCATCACAGTTATAATTATAACAGGTCTCAGGGACACACGCGCTCCTAAACCGTTTTTTTAATTCTCCCTGTGACGGTATTAACTACTGAGCTTAACAGTTTCACTGTGAATCAGTACTGTCTTTAGAACGTATTTGCTTGTTAACTGAATAACGCTATTGATACTGTAGAATTCACAGTTAAATGTTTGTTAATGAATAGGTCGTCATGAAAAGCGTTAATTTCCAAGTTGTTAATTACCACAGTATCTATTTAATGACGTAGCTGTTTGCAGTACTCGATATATCACATCAAACGGTTCTGCAGAAGAAAACACCTCGATGTATAAAAGAAGGTTTTCCAATTTAAAACCGCGTCCCACTCTGTTGGGGATATGAACCTGGCGTAAAATAAGTTCCATGACAACTTTAAATTAAGTTTTGTCTGTGGGCTCAACTAATTTTAACTGTGCCCTCAAGGAATGCGTTGGGCTTTGTGAAGAATATTCGATGGCGAGTTTGGACTTACATTTATCTTAATATGGTACTGGGTACGAAATTTAAAACGGAGATTCCTCACGTTTATGAGTACCTGAAAAGAATCGGATAAACTCAAACAACTGCGTTTTAAGTTTTTGGTTTATGAGGTTTTGATTCTGCAATACCCAAAATCGAGTTACTTCTGTATTCTATATCCTTCAGTTATTTAAATCTTCACTGTTTCGGTAACAACGATTAAATAGTTTGCGTAAAATAATATAAAAAGAGTCCTTCGGTTATTTAAATCTTCACTGTTTCAGTAACAACGATTATATAGTTTGCGTAAAATAATATAAAAAGACGATATTTGATGTTGAGTAGTTCCGGATTTCTGATGAGGCGATTATACTGTTTCAAGACACTATTCGCGAGAAGAAACTGAAAAAATAATAATCAGAGCATACGGTAATTCTACCCGTATTTGAACTAGGATCGTCTCGAATATGCCTCTTAGATTGTTAACCCTAAACATAACTACTTAATTGAAGGTATGGAAATTTTAATAATTAGAAGACAGGTGTAGATTATTTGATAAAATTTTCATGCACATTGATAAACTTCTACAGACCTGAAGATGGAGACAGTATGACTTCCCAAAACATTTATATCTACCTATGACTCCACATTGCGTTAAAACTCAGAACAACAACATCTACATCTTCAAGACCGTGAAATCCTCGCATTACCTGGGCTGCTCTTCAGCTTAAATTGAGTTGTTATTTTCTTTGTGACGTATAAGACGTCCAGCAGGACTTCTTACTTTACTTTTTGCCATGATTTCTTCATAAATCAGCACTGAAAGACGCTAAAATAACATTTATGCCTACACTGAGATTAGATCCCCCAATCATCAGTGTTTGAGCGGACCAAGACTCTTCGCTGAGACCTCGCAGCGGAAGCTATCTACAATATATCAGATCCATATGATCTAATTTCTCTCTCCACTTTCTGCTTTTCGCGAATGAAACATAGATTTTCTGACGTTCTAGTCTATCTGGGATGGGGTGCTGTATGATGAGTCTGTGGCTCCAGAATTTCGTAGTTGGAGCTGTTAAATCTGAGTCAGAACTGGCAGCTGTAGCTACAAACTGTGGCATACCATGGAGGACTTGCTCTGTTGAACAAGATCTGCTTTACATGTCAGAGGCTTACTCGAACGAAGGGCTCTGTAATCACCCTGGAGTGTAGAACCAACTTTCTGCATGTACGTTGTCCAGAGTCTGATTAATGTAGCTGATACTGTTTCTGGGCTGCGTTTTACAAGAATTAGCCCACTCAACCAGACAGTGCTGCCGGATGTAGCAAGCCTGTAGTTAAACACGACGTATATCCCACATAGCCCACCTTACGAATTTGTTTTCAAGTATTTATTATATCTGTACAATAAAAATAAGTTGTGACAATGCAGCGACAATGTGTCTGTCTTAAAATATTTTAAAGTTGTTTTAGTTTCCTCTAACAACAAGAAAGCAGACTCCGATGGTTGAATTTTTACTAGCTGAGCGACTATTAGCTTCTCAAGAGTTCCGTTCCATGGAGTTAAAATTACGGAATTGATAACTTTCAGTTATTGTCGTAAGACGTTGTTTCCATGAGACTCAGAGAAAAAAGTAGGAAAATAACTTGTTACCATACCTCGCATAATGTGGAGATGCCTCGCCATTTCTTGCCGATAGAGTGCTCTGTCTGATAACCTTGCCACTGTCCATAGTCTGCTTCCCTCCTGTGGAGACGATTGGGTTTCTTGGTGAGCCTGTTTGCCTGCAAAATGCAGGAATTTTCATTATAATTGCATTAATAATAAAAAGTATATTATATCTTCACATTAACAACTGCGATAAGATTCCCATCATCAATGAAAATGAATGATTTTTCACCGCTGCTGTGTTATGTTATTATACCTATAAGACACATGATAGTAAAAATAAATTAAATCATAAGGAATGGTTAATCCTTAAAATTTGAACTTCGCAGAAATAATATTTAACAATTCGCTTCATACTTCTAGGAAAATGCACCGTGTCTTCGTGACAGGAAGCAGTTGACTGAGAATGAAATACCCAAATACACTGTGTGGGTAAATAGCTAACTTACTAGACGTTGAAGTATGTCAGCATTGTTACCACAGAGCAACAGAGAAAGGCTAAGGCAAAACAAGAAAGTTGTCCACGTGAAAACAACAAATTTGGAGCTTAGGGTCTTCTATCTCACCACACATTAGCATGTTTAGTAGTTGATACTTTTACCAGATATCGCGGTCTAGCACTCAGAACTAAGACAGTTGAAAGTCAGGAAGTCGGGCAGCAACGCTCTACAGGCACTTGGTTTTAATCTCGGCCTTGCTAACGGATACCCTGCTTAAGATTTTCCTCCGTCACTTTATTGGAAATCTTTAAATAAACCATGACTATAGTTTCCAAACTCTTTCATGATTCAGTACTAACTTTTCAAATCATTTGATGACGCTAGACAAACTAAGGTCAAGCAGCAAAGTGATATTTGAGACGCTGATAGTAGCTCACGAAGATGGTTGTCTTATTGATGATTGAGCAGTAGTCTGGTAGGCGTTTACTGACGTTTCAGAGGTGCTTGATGCCCACATCATCAGGACGAATACAATGGAGCAAGGCAGCAAGATGGTATAACATTCTATTTTCCAGGTGCTGTTATCATTAGATACATTTTATAACAACTTATAAAACTATAAATGCACAGAATATTTAAATTATGTTATAATTTCTGTCTCCTTCAGGATACAAATATTCTGTTTCAACAGAGACTTAGGCCCATTTTGTAGTAATTAAGAACACTGTGTAATCCATTCATTACGGCTTCTTATTAAAAATACAGTTAGAAGTAAAGTTTCATTTCTGTTGTTAGTAAATTGTGGGAAATGTTTCGGTAAAAACTCAAATATCGAATAAAAGTAAGTCAATAAAAATATGGTATTCGCCATATATTCTGTGCTTAAGAATTTGTTAAATTTTATTAACTGAAATTTTATGTAGGTATGGCACGAATAGACACTCAACGGCTGATTACTCACTCACCTCTTACGGCTTCAGACTGCTCCTCTAATGCGCGCCCCTCACCTGCGCGCTCCTGAAACAGTTCAAAATGCTATTAGCTACCAATTTAACATCCTGAAAACGACAGAGCAGCCTAGTGTACCTGCAACGATATAAACTGTTCAAAACCTGGTCGAGCTTTTTCTTCATTTTCCTTATTATTTTCGTAGAATAAGCAACAGTATACTCTTATAAAATACTTACCTTATCTCCATAATGTATGCTTCAAGCTTAACCAGTGGTATAGTAGCCGTCATCAAACAGCATTATCCAAGGTCACAGCAAAATCTTACGAATAGCAAAGACTAGGAGACTGATGACACCTCAGATCTCGCTACGTAGCAAAGCTAGAAATTCTAAACTAGTGACATATTCGCGCGGTAAGGGAGGTGATGTCCTCCCCTTCCGTTGCCTTTAAGGATGCAGTTTTGTGACGGCTATTATAAAGCATATAACCTCTGCAGTTAAAACATCGTGGTTAATTATAAACTCCTGTAATATCCTGTAGAAAAGTTAGCGGCTATCCTTACGATTTCTAACACTTAATATAACTTGAATATTTCCTTCTTTAAAGACAGGCAATTAAATGGAATAAAGTGTAACACTAAAATAAGATAATATTATTTCTATGTCTTGTACCTAATTATAAATAATTCCAAGAATGTGGCAATTTTGCAAGAATGCTTTTTACAATGGTTCTACACTGACATCTTCAGCTATCAGTGTCCAGTTGTGTCGTTTTCTTAAATTGAAGTAAAAAGAATTGCCTTAGTATCAATGTCCAGTTGTGTCGTTTTTTTAAATTGAAGTAAAAAGAATTGCCTTATGTAAGTGTAGTAGTATAGCCAGTCACCAGAGTTCGAAGGAACGTGTCATCTAACCCTGAAGATGAAGGATATTTGTTTAAACGTAACTTTGATAGCCGCCTGAAAATAGAATACACGACATAACAAAAGTGGGAATCTAACATAATTTTATTGACTTAAATTCCTTCTGGTACTGCTGGTTGTGTTAACGGACTTAAAATAAATAGATATAAGTATTCCTGCAACAAAGGCAAAAAGTTTTTACCGTCCCAAGCTAGTAAGTAAAAATGTTTTAGATGTAAAAGTGCAACAAGAATTTCTGACACTTGTCATATTGGACAGATTCGAATTATACACAATAGTCACGTTTAATGCTATATTTGAATATTTAGAGTTTATAATCCAGCAATGTAAACTAATGTAATTCAGCTCGTGAGTTAGCTACTTCGTACACGGTGAAACTATTGAATCCCATCTGGGTCAAATTCTTTTTACTGTTTCAATTTTAACTATGAAACATTATTGTTAATTTTTTCATATTTGGGAATAACTTCTCACTGAAATAGGCATGCAGATTCCGTCTGTGCTAAATTTGTCGAATATCGTCATATTTATAATTGATGACTTACAAATAATATTTCTTTCATAATTTGTGGGTATTTCTAGCACTATATCCATACCAAACTGCACTTGCTTAGCTCCAATGGTTCATATGTTAAAGCTGTTAAACCGTCAGCTAAACACAACTGTTGCACTGATGCCATTTTGTTGAAAGAATCTGCATATTTTTCGAAGATCTAATAACCCTTTAAATCCCAATTTTAACGATATGTTCTACAGCTTCAACAATCAAGAAATCTTCATTTTGTATTTATGTGTTATGGTTATTTCCTTAAACAGCATTAACCAGTTGAACTTTATGTTGAAGTGTTTTCTTTGTGGTACGGAATTAATAATTAAATATTGTTTAGACAAACTCTAGCTTTAAAAGTTAAAGACCATCTAAAACAGAAAGTTATTTTGAGTGATCTCAAGTGGAATATCATTTATAACAAGTTCGGTGAAAGTCGGTGAACTATTTCAGAATCTGAAATAGGAAAACACACGCGAATACCACGGTGACCAAATAAACTTATTTTCTTTCCTTAAGAATTAACTAAATACGAGAGCATATATTAACAATATCAATAAGAATTATACTACTATTTTAAAATTGTTTAAATATATATTGTTAAATCCAAGTAAATTTAATGAAGTTTAATTAAGTTAAGATCAGAATAAACGCAAAATATTCTTTTTATTGTTATTATTCTTTAAATTCTACCTATTTCTTTTTAAGATACTTAATGCTATGAGTTTGATCACAGAAACAGAGAGGCAAGCAAGCGATAACATCGTCGTTGGATAGAGATTATTGCAGTATAACGACATTTTAGGAATACGCTTATTTATAAACTCATACATAAGTTGAAATAATTTCGTCCATACGTTCTTTAAGAATCAATTGGAATAAACTTGTACTTTTTAATTTCCTACAATCGGTAATACCAACATGGCAGACAAACGAACCTATGAGGTGGGATCGATACTAGCGCTGCTTACTGTGGGGTCATACAACGATGTATGATAAGATTTTCGAAAAATACATAACTTTGGTGCAGTAATTGTTTGTACAGTGTCAAATAAGAAGATAGTGACGGAACGAACAAACAAACAAAATAATTGGTTTGATGAGGATTCGATCCCACGACCCCATGCTTATAAGTTCATTAAATTACCACAGACTTTACTATCATTGTGCTAAATTAATATTAGTTAACTATACCCAAAGATGGCGTAATACATATGATTTGCATAATTGGAAACTAAAGTTGTCAAGTAATATGTGTTAATTAACTTTCATGAATACCTTTCTTTAAAGAACAGTAGACGATACAAGAAGTTTATTGATCTGTTTGTAATACATAATCAAGGTCCTCTAAATCTACATTGTTCAATCAACAATCAGTTTCCGATAAACAAATGGATCAGTAGAGAAATAAAACATTTAAAATGTAAGTTCATGTATTTTAGTAACAAAAGTGGTAAGTAAAGTGCTAACATCAGATTGAAATTCACTCGTTTATTTCTATTAATCTATTGCTAAGCTCATGTGAACAATACTAATGGTAACGCTTCAATAGTGAACGTATGGTATGGTGTTTTCTTTTCTCGCTAGGAACATTTATAATCCGAAATTTGAAAAAAGAAAAATGCGTGTGGAAGATTTGTGTATTCTGGAACAGATTAAATCTCGCCAATTTTGTTTAACGAAGGGGTGGCACATCATAAATGAACAGAAGTTATTTTAATTGTAGGTGGTTGATGCTGCTCTCTCTGTTCAGAACTGCAGAACTACCAATATAACAATGAAAAATAACGCGCCTAATTACAGATTAACAGAAGTAAGCAGCAGTAAAGAAATTTTGAATTATGACGCTGATATTAATCTAAAACTGGAAGTTTTACTAGATAGTAACACATCGATAAAACTGTAAGCTCGATACATCGGCGCGTTAAATACTCGGTAAAGCCCTCGCGTGTGAATCGTGCCCTATTAAATATTATATATACTGTGACGTAATGCTGTGATAAGCGACATCATAATTTATTCATTTCTAGGCAATCGTGCTTGCTGCAGTATAGTCGCGACTAACTAAAATGAAAACACAACTTAATTACACATCTCGTGCGATATTTATGACATATCTCACTTCATCTAATCATATTTTAGTTTAAAAAATTACAAAACCTATTTCACCTGTGTGTTTATCTGACTGTCCTTATTTCCCACTTTAATTCGAGAGGTTTCTGTTTTGAAACTTTCTCATTTTATTGATTATTTTAACTTGGAATTTTCGTCGATTTCTTTTATTGGCAATTACGACGCTCAAATATTATGATGTAAAGGAATAAATCCTATTTAAGGAAAGAAATACTGCATTCTCTAGTATTTATAAAGCTCTGAGATAGAAAAAGTCTCAATACACGCTTATAGCAGTGCGCGTGAACCGTGTGACTATCTCTCCAATACTTCATGATGAAGACCAATCAAGTGTCCTATCATAACTGACGTTCCATCGTAAGTTTGAAATACAAGCGAAATTAAAAATTCTGAATTATGGTTCCTTTATAGCGTGTTTCTTATTCTGTGTTCTTCATAATTTATATGGAGATCGCCATTTAATTAAATATTCATCCATTTAAAGTGTTTAGAATAATTTAAGAAAAGATAACACATCCAACGACTATATGACCGTCTCTGCCCCTAAGTGACCAAGAATTCTTAACATAGGTTTCTATCCTCTTCATGTACTGCGCTGTTATGATGATGATAACGATATTATTTTAAAAGCTAAATCGTCGTACCAGCAATTTCCAGAACTGAATGTCACAATTAACCTGTCTGCACAACTGCTACCCGCTGCCATCACCATTAGCCTACCAACTACATAAAACAGAGTCCTTCACGGCGAGTAATAGCCGCTCAGCTGGTCAAGAAATTCTCCGCCGTGTATGGAAAATCAAAGTCCGTTACCTGTTCATAAGTGCACGCTACTGGACCTCATCCTAAGCAAGATAAACATATTTCTTTAAGATATATTTTAATATTATACTTTCATCTAAGTCGAGGTTTCCCAATCGATTTCTTCCCCTTAAACTTTTCCGACTAAAATGTTGCCTGATGAAATTTTCATCTTCTCCGTGCGTACTGCATGTCCAGTCAATCTCCCTATTCTTGAAGGCTTTGAATTTAGGGGATTAACTAAAATTGTAAGTAGGAATGTTTCCATGGCGGTGAAATATTTATCTGTAAATTTTCTCGATTTCTTTAGCAACCCGATGTCAACCTGAGCCCGAAAATAGGACATTCTAAAAGAATTGTCATAGCTTTCCTGAGTACCTTAAAATAAACAGTGACCACTTCCACATATTTCACAATTTACCATTCAAGTCTTCTATGACAGTATTAAGTATTATTTGTTGCTCCCATATCATTTCCTATGCTTTAAAATATGACAGTTTACGTTCTGCGCAACTCATATATCATTGTGCTTATATACTGCGTTATCGACTCTTACAGGTCACTGGTGGTATGGCTCCACGTATGCATTAGGTGGAGGTGTGGTTAGCCCCACGTTTCTGCCTCCAGGAGGAAAATAATTTTGTAGGAAACTGAGTGGGTCTCAG